GAGAGCAGCATGTTTCTCAGAAGAACATCCTGTCTCAGGAGAGGGCGTCACCATCTTGTGGAGCAGGTACAGTTTAGAATATGTAGGCACATCGAAGTGTAGAAAAAGGCAAAGGAAGAAACATTGCATTGTGGAATAAGACACTCAACGTGGTGTGAACATTTAAGGCAGCAGACGGCAAAACAGGCAAGGCAAGAAAGATGGTCTGGGTGTGGAGGTGACCTCCCATCTAGAAAGAATTCTCTTCTCGTGACCTCCAAGACTGAGCACCATAGAGCATGTCTTCTTCCTCAAGGCCAGTGGTACTTCAGATACCAGATGGTTTCATTTTTCAGCTGTGGTCCAAAGAGAGGGTTGAGCTGGGCCAGAATTGCAATCAGCCAAAAGAGATAGCAGCAAACTGAACAGGTCACCAACATGGTGATGATAACTCCCCGGTTAGGGCCCTTAGGGATGAACCAAGGCACCAAGAAGCCGACGAAGCCCCAGAACACGCTCATCACAATGAGGGGCACCGTGAGGCCGTGGTACGCCATGGTCGCCGCCGGAGCTGCCAGGCCCTGCGAGCCCCTGTCCCCGCGACGCCCTCGGGTCCCACCCCCCAATTTTGTTTTTAAGAAAGGGGTTCATGGGCATCTAAGTCCTTATTGAGAGAAGCAAGTTGACAAAAAAGAAAGAGAAGTTGGATCAGCAATGAAGTTAGGTCATGACAGGAGTAGAACTAGGGCTCAGGTGGGGAGAAGAGTCCATGCAAGAGAGGAACGCCTCATTGAATGGGAGTGCTAGTTTACAGACGTGGTAGCAGGAAGACAAAGGAGATCTTTTTCAAATGTCTGTTTTCTCTGTAACTAAATGTTGAGGTCACATGTTGAGAAACAGGAGCAATAAAAAAGAGAAGTTCGAGGTTTCAGGGCAGTCAGGATAGAGAAGAGAAGCAAGGGTTGACAGGGAACTGGCAAAATTGCAATGTTAAGAGTTGAGATTGAAGGCTGAGTTATCATGTCCCGAATAAGCTTTTTTGTGTTGTATTTCCATAGTCTAGTCAAAGAGTTATAAAAGGTGAACAGTTTGGTGAATGTTTTAGCAAATGGGTACAATGGGAGGACATCGAGGCAAAGAGTTTAGGAGGTTAATATGAATAGTGGAAATAATGTGCCACTGATCCAAGTTTTTATAGGGAAGAAAGTGAAGACAGAATAGAACCGGTAGAAAAATAGTAAAGGGTCAATGAATCAGTGGTCAAAATGGCAGCATGAAAGTAAGTTGAACAGAAAATAAAGATCTTAGAAAATGGCACCTCAGAATACCCAGGGGTCATCTTCAATTCCTCCCTTATCCCCACATCCACTCTATAAGCAAAACTTGCTAGTTTCACGATCAAGTATTTCCAATCCCTGTCCACTTTTCATCTAGCCTCTGCTAACCCCCTTGTCTAATTTACATTAGACATCCTACTTACAGAGTATTACTACCATTTTTGTCTCTCTTGTCTTATAATGCTGACCCTAGATAGTAGCTAGAATGACCTGCTTTCAGTTCAGTATACCCTCAGTTACTCCTAATCATACTTTATTTATTTATTTGTTTGTTTGTTTATATTTTGAGTCAGTATCTCACCCTATTACCCAGGCTGGAGTGCAGTGGCATGATCATGACGATCACGACTCACAGCAGCCTTCACCTCCTAGGCTCAGGTAATTCTTCTACGTCAGTATCCCAAGTAACTGGGACTATAGGCCTGTGACACCATGTCCAGCTATTTTTATTTTTCTTTCTTTCTTTTTTTGTTTTATTAGAGGCAACATTTCACTATGTTACCCAGGCTGGTCTGGAACTCCTGGGCTCAATCAATCTGCCAGCCTCAGTCTTCCAAAGTGCTGGAATTATAGGCTGGATTACAGACACGAGCCACAGCACCCAGCACCAATCACACTTTAAATGAAATCTAAGTTCCTTACCCAAGTCTTCCAGACTCTAGATAATCTGCCCTGGAGGCTTCTCTGACTTTTGTCTCTTACACACCTATCACTGGTGAGGAAGTTATAGAAATGAGAGGCTCAGGTGCTGAATGGGTGACCTATATGTTACTGAAGTCATAGAGAACATGGGGGAGGTATGCTACAATGAAAGGTTCCCCAAACACTTCACCTTTCAGTTGTTTGACCACAGATTTTAATAGAATTACAACATGAATTAGGAAAGCAATAGGAACATACAATTCTGTAAATCCTTAAAGATATGGTCTTCAACACATTCATATGTATATCCCCAGCAATTAGTATAGGCACCCAATAAATTTTGGCTGATTAGATAAATGAATGGATGAATAAACACAGAATTTTGGTAGGTGAGTGTATTAGAATCTATTGTTTCTACCTGATAGGCATTTATCTGCTCTGATTTTGCTTAGCCAAGAACTCCCACTCACTCCTGGCATGTGGCCCAGATTAAACTAACCAGTGTTCTTCAGAGAATTTGAATCTTGACCAGAATAAATCTGATGGGAAAACTGTTGGAGCTGGTATTTGTTAATTATAACTCCCTGAGAAGATTTTCCTTAGTTCTGGCTCCCTAAATCCCTAGGACTCTCTGCTTTCTCTGCTTTTGGAAAGGGGATTCTTCATCTTTTCCTTCACTATTGTGTTGCCTCACAGGGCTTCTCTCTCTCTTTTTTTTTTAGTCAGAGTCTCACTCTGTTGCCCAGGCTGGAGTGCAGTGGCTTGCTCACGGCCACCTCAGCTTCAATCTGCTGGACTCAGGCGATCCTTCCGCCTTAGATTTCCAAGTCACTGGAACTACAGGTGTTGCACCACCACGCCCGGCTAATTTTTCTTGATTTATTGTTGAGATGAAGTCCCACCATGTTGCCTAGGCTGTTCTCGAAGCCGTTTGCTCAGGCAATCCTCTCACCTCGGCCTCCTAGAGTGCTGGGACTATAGGCATGAGCCACCACACTGGGCTACTTCACGGGCTTCTAATAAATTCTTTCTTTTTTATGCTTAAGTTAAGCTGAATTGTTTTCTCTTGCTTGAAATCAAAGAACCTTAACTTTGAAAAATGAAAACTTAATATGATTAGGAGAAAGTGTATTTATTTTAATGACTACTGAGCATTGCTGTGTGCCAAAAACAGTAGCAAATGTCTTCAAACAAAGGTTGTGATTTTTTTTTTTAGGGAGATGAGGGGTATGATCAAAAAACTATAACATAAGATAAAAAGGGATTCGTGGCATACAATTTACCAGTGAAATGTCAAGGGGATTGAGGGAAGGCATCTGTTCAGTTGGAGAAATTATGGCAGAATCAACATTTGGTCTACGCTTAGGGATTTGGGCCTGCTGACTTGGAAAAGGCATTGAGCATCAAAAATGTGAGATGATCAGCGAGCACATCAGCTTTCTATGTTCATGGAGGAGAATGATGAGCAATTAGGTTGCAAATAGTAGATTGGAGCAAAAAGTCAGGCTAAGAAAAAGTTCTGGTTTAGATTTTGTAGGCGACAGGGAACCAAAAGCATTATTTATTGCAATATTATGCTTGGAAAAGGCTTGCAAAGTCATATTTAATGCACTGGAGCAAGGGAAAGACCCAAGTGAAGAGACAAATTCCAAGGTACAGCAATAGTCCAATCAAGGGATAATTAGTACTCGCGTGAAGGAAATTTCAAACACTTTCCAATTGCCGAAGGAAGGAAAAGTTAAGACTCCCAAAAGGCAGTGAGACCCTAAGCTGAATAAGATGCTGAAACTTACAGCATGCTCCATGGCTCTGTATTTCAGATTCACGTTTTTCTGCCTTTTCTCTTCTGGGTTTTTGTCTCCAGTCTCCAGCTGCCCACACAATCATTTCACTTGCATAGACGAGTATTTTCATAAACTGACATACCTAGAGACAAACTCATCGCTCTTTTTGTCCTCCCCCCGCACCCCACCAAGCCACCACTCCTTCTTTTTCTTGAAATTAGAAGCATCTCTCCCCTCTCCTGTCCTTCAGTTCCCACCCTCTCCACATCACATCAGTCAGATAAGATCATGCCAGGTTCACGGCAGCAGCTTCCTAATAAATCTCCTTGTTCCCATTTTCTTCCCACTATGTAGCAGAACATCAATAAAAATCTGTCTAAAGTTGATAAATTAATCTGGCAAGCACAATGCAGCTTTCACTGCCAAATGGATCTGCTGAAAACATCTTTTAAAACATAATAATATTATTCCTGTGTCTAGAAATGACAATGGATTCTACTTGTCCCCAATTTTGGTGGGTAACGGTGTTTTCTACTCAATTTCTCAAGGTCCACTATTAATCCATGTGTGCATGTGTGTGTGTCGGAGGCGTGTGATTGTGGGAGTGTGCTCACACTGACAACAGAGTCAAGGAAGAGGGTGGCAGAGGATTGGGGGTATCCTAGGGTGAAGACTGCATTTCCCAGCTAGACACCATCTCATTAGACTTATATTCTGAGGGGGCTTGATGGGAAGGGAAGGAAATTGAAAAGGCAACTGCTCTTCTTGTATCTACCAGGGTGAGTTCTGACAGGTTAAAATTCTCTGCCCATCTGTTTATGTATTCAGCCACTTGATTTTCAAAGATCTCTGTCCCTTAGACACATCCAAGCAATGTTCAGACTTAATCCATATTTCTCCAGAAGGATGAACTCTGTGTAGCAGTAGATGTTTTGAGAGTATCTATTTCCACAGATATACACATGTTCTGGCCCCAGCTCTGCTCACCTGCATCCCACCCCTGGTCCTGCCTGCATCTGTGCCGCCAGGCCTGCCACTCAAAGCAGCAGCTCTAAAACTGGTTCTCCCTAGTCCGTCCCCCAGCTGAGCCCTATAAACAGATCATGTACCTTGGTCAAGACAGGTGTGGGTTTTTGTCTTACCCAGTCACCCCCTCACTGCCTGGAATCCTTTTGGACACTATCAATTAAAGTGAATTTGTTTCTTTAAAATATATATATATATAATATTATATATTATATAAATATATGACATAAAATATAAATGTTTTCATTCCATTAAGTAACTGCGAGTTGCTTCACACCTAAAAACTATCAAAATTCTAGACGCTAACATTCTTCACGGCAGAAAAGCAATAGTGCAGAGTATTTAATATGATTTTAGTAGATACTTAATGCTTACTCACAGATCGATAACCTAGCAACAAAAAACAGCCTTAGAGTGTCCAGTCTCAGTTGAATATTGATTCAAAAATTGTTTTTAAAATGTTATGTAATCACCTTTTGTGAATGTCTTTAAAAAAACTTTTGAGGGTGATGCTCAGACTTGGTCCTGTCTGAAGTCAGACAGACAGGACAGGAACACAGTGACAGTTTCTTAGCTCAAAACCCAGTTCTATTCCATCTTGCTGCACTCAGGACAGGGTTAGGATGAAATGGCCATGTTCCCAAATTTAATGAGTCAATACAGATTTATGGGGATTTCAGATCGGCACTGTTTGCAGTGGGTGTAAGACTAGGATGACAGATGTGTTTGTTCTAAGATAAAGAGCTTTAGCTGAATGCATGAATTTAGTAATTACAGGACTTTGAAGTATTCTTTTTAATTTAGAATAGACAGTCCATTTAGAAAT